TGATACCATATGTATGTGACAATGGAACTCTCAGGGTCGAGTTCCTTGTGCTCCAGGCCCGGAAAGACACGGCTCAGGATCCCAGGTCCACAGGAGGATTAGCGGGGCGCTGGGACAGGTGAGCGGCCGCCCGGCCCCGCCCCGCATGCCCTAGCCTGCAGACCCAGCCCCCACCTCTCATTGGTTTGCGCCTCGTCAAGCCCCGCCCCCAGGCCTCGCCCTCCCGCCTTCCCCAGGCCCCGCCTCCGCAGGCTCCACCCAGGCCCGCCTCTCGTCTTGAGCGCCTTGCCCGAGCCCCGCCTCCTTGTCGTCACTTCCGGGAAGAGGAGCCCGCGGAAGGCGGAAGTGTGTGTGCCAGGGGGCTGCGAAGCCGGGCTGAGGTGTTCCTGGCTGGCACCCCGCGGCTGCTCTGGGTCTGGGCGTGGGGACACGCGGGTGGTCAGCGAGAGCCAGCGGGGAACGAAGCCATGAGGCGGCCGCGGGGTCTGGCGGGGTCTGGAGGTTGACTGCTCCCGCCGCCTTCCCGCGAGGCCGCCTCTTCCAGGCAGCCACCCGTTCCCCTCAGGGTCTCGCGCCCCGCCGTCGTCCCGGCGCCTTGGACTGGGGCTCCCGGGCCCCCAGCCCCCACGCTATGACTGCGGCCGCCGCCTCCAACTGGGGGCTGATCACGAACATAGTGAACAGCATAGTAGGTGTCAGTGTCCTCACCATGCCCTTCTGCTTCAAACAGGTGAGTCCAGTGGGCAGTGGTCGCCGCCCTCGCCGCCCCGGGCTCATCCCCTCACGGGAACTAGGGCTGGGGGAGGCGGCCCTGCAGCTCTTCCGCCTCGGGACTGCAAGAGAAACCGAAGGAATTTCCTCAGTGAAAAACTTAAGCACAATTAATAACAGACCGAAGTGCAAGTGTAGCAAAAGAAAATGATCCTTCAAAAATGGAAAGTGACCACAGGATTCAGTGTTCTTTTTCTTTACTATTATTTTTTAAAACTCTGACCTGACTGCACTTGTATTCAGAAGCACACAAGTCAAACCCCCAGGCCCTGGAACTAGATTGGGATGTTGGTTACAAGGTGATTACTAAATTCTCCAGAGTGTACGCTTAAGATCTCTGCGTTTCACTGTATGCCAATGTTACCTTGATTGAAAAAATCTGAAATGTTAAAAAATTGGTGTCATCCCAACATTAAATACTGCATGAAAGAAACTCACCTTTTTTTTTTTTTTTTTTGAAACTCACCATTTTTGAGGTGTGAATTCATTTGGCTTCTGTTTAATTCACAAATAGACAGGCATTTGGTACGTTAGAAAAGGGAGATTGATGGAATTATCAAATTGGGTAACCTCTTTCCTAAAAATGAACTTCTTAGCTTCCTGTGTGCCACGGTGGAGGTGCCGCTCCACCTGCCTCCTAGGACAGGAGCTGTCCACTACCTGGGTTGCTTAAGGCTGGGGGAGGAGGAGTGGGACACCAGAGAAGAACAGGTGGCCAGCAAGGCTTCAAAGACCAGTCTTATATGATGAAACCAAATAGGTGCAAAAAAGTGAAAATAAGATGGACATTTTGGAACTGAAAATGGGCACCAGTCGTTTAGTTTTAGATTAAGACTTTGCATTTTTCATATTTAGCATCTTTTGGATAAAACTAGCAAAAAGAAAGAAAATGAGTTTATGGTTCCCATGTGAGTGGTTGATCTGACTTGGTTGGTGAGCATGTTGGCAGGAGGACAGAGACTGCAGGCCTATGTGGAAGGCCACGCTGGCGGCTTCTAGAAGCCCTGGGACAACATCTGTGTCGCGGTATGTGAATCCCAGTGTGAGCCGGCCACCTCTGTTTCTGGAAGGACTACATGTCCCAGCGTGCGTTGCGACTTGCCTGGCGCAGAACTGCATCCTGGGATGTGTAGTTGGCTGGTCCTGCGTCTATAAATGCAGTGCTGTCATCCTTGATGCCTGTCTGTCAAGTGCCACCATGGTAGGGCTCTGGTGATTCAGATTTGAGTATCTGCCATGTGCTGGGCACGAGGCCCCTGCCAGAGCATTTAAACATGGGCCAGGCTGACTTGCCTGGGGAAGAGCTTAGAGGTGGGGGTCTGCATGCAAGCCAAGACCTGGAAGTGGTTTGCCCTGCCCCGAGGGCCTGGCTGAGTTAGGGCACTCTCACCCATCTCTCAGCATCTTCTCCGTGAGAAGCCGTCAGCCAGAACACAATGTGAGGCCAATGGGCAATTTGGAGATGTGTGTTTTGATCTGGCAGCCAGGTCATTTAAAAAAAGTTTTGGTTTGCATTTTTTGTTTGTTTGGTTTTAGTAATTTGGGTACTTTTCCAAAAGAATTAACATTTTATTGAAGTGTAACATGCGTATAGAAAAGTGGACACATTTTAGGTGTACTCTTGATGGATTTTCCTAACGTTAACAAACACATGTAGCCAGTTCCCAGCTTAAGGAGCACAGCATTGCCAGCACCCTCCAGCCCTGCCTTCTTGCTGAGGGTCCCCCTCCTACCCCCAGTACCACAGGTCAGTGTTGCCAGATTTTAACTTTACGTGAATGGGTCATGTTGGTACATTTCGATGTCTGGCTAGCATTCCTCAATTTATCTGTTTTTTAACCTTTACTAGGCAGGCATGGTGTTTCCTATTTGGAGTGCTTTGGAACTTGTGCACAGGCTTTGACCCCGTGGACGCATTCTGTGGGGTGGTGACCTGCGTGCAGGAGAGCTGGGTCGTGGGCTGTGTGTGCGTTCCGCTCTGCTAGATGCTAGCAGGACAGTTGGTTGTTTCTTCAGTTTTTGGATTACAGATAAACCTGCTGTAAACATTGGCATGCAGGTTTGTGCATGAACACATGTTTTCATTTCTTTTGGGTAAATACCTAGGAGTGCAATTGCTGGTCAGATGGTGAGTGTCTGTTTAACTTATAAGAAAGGCGTAAATGTCATTTTTAATCTCTTCCTTCCAGAATGTGTTTATCACTCGTAGCTGTTGATCCAAGTGGCTGGAAGGTGGTTTGCTGTAGGGTGTCTGCAGGGAACTGGGGAGACTGGCAACCCCTTGCTGTTCCTTGAGACTCTGGGAGGGGCTGGGAAGGAACCAGTGTCCCTGGTGCTCTTTTGGGGTCATGCACAGGCTTTATGTCTTTGGACAGAACCTGTGGCCACCACATCCAGGAAATTGTCCTTTTAATGCTAGGAACCGCTGCCCATAGGCACGGGAACTAAACAGAGCTGGGGCCTCGTGTCTAGGGGGCGGGGGCCGTGGGGAGGGCTGTTGGTCGTAGCACATGCTGTTCAGCGTGAGAGGTAAAGATGCCGGGTAGCTTTGTCTTGTTACCGTCTCTTTCTCTCCCAACCCTGCAGTGTGGCGCCGTCCTGGGGGCCCTGCTCTTGGTCTTCTGTTCTTGGATGACGCACCAGTCGTGCATGTTCCTGGTGAAAGCCGCCAGCTTGAGCAAGCGGAGGACCTACGCTGGCCTGGGTGAGTGCTGGACCAGGGAGCGCTGGACCTTTCTCAGTACCTTCTTAAGAAGTGCAGTGGTTTGGGCCTTATTATTTTTTTTTTTTTGGCCGTACGTGCGGCACGTGGGATCTTAGTTCCCCGACCAAGGATTGAACCTGTGACCCTTGCATTGGAAGCATGGAGTCTTAAACACTGGACCGCCAGGGAAGTCCCTGGGTCTTATTCTTTTAATTACTTTTCTTCCACTTTATTCTTTATTCCTTTGAACAGCAGTTTCTTATTTTAAAATTTAATGCAATTTAAAAAAAACTGTTAACATCAACACACATTTTAAAATTGAGGTGATACTCATTCTCCTGTCTCCCCTTTATGCATATCCACACAGAGAGCCCTCTCTCAGTTCAGGCAGCCTCAGCAGCCTCCGCTCCTGTGCCCAAGAGTCCCCAGAACCTTCCTTCCGAGCTGCCTGACTGGGATCTTGCTGCACATCCCCACTTTGAATGCCATGGGCACACTGTCCTTGGGCTCGGGTTTGTAGCTGGGAGCAAGTCACCATCTCCTCAGTGCCGTCCTCTGTTTCCTGTTGTTAGTTGCAATTTCGTTTCCTCTAGATTTTTCTTGCTTCCTTTGATTTCAGCCGAGGCAGAGAAGGCTGTGCTTTCCGCCTCCTGTCAGTTTGACTATTTCCTGGGAAACTTGGCTCTGAGGGCAGGGTCCCTCACTCTCCTGCCCACCTCAGGGTGATGTGTGCAGGCCGCATTCTCTCCACTGCCTCGGAACTTTCAGCTCTGCACTCCATTCTGGGGATACGTGGTGTGGGTGTTGAAATACCAATGCACCAATGCTCTCAGGAGCCGGCCCTGAGCACTTCTAGGGAAAATTCCTGTCCTCTGGCTGGAAGTCTCTGACCCTCCAGCTAGTGTGTGGCCAGGATGCTGCGTCCACTCGTGGAGGGCCTGGTTGGGCCCTCAGCTCACAGCTCTCACGGCAGAGAGGAGGCAGCAAGAGGAAATGGTGTGCAGAGTTCCAGGGGCCAAACAAAATAAAAACATCTGCAGGCCCCACATGTGGGCTTTTGGCAGCGTGACCTCTGGTTTCCTTCCAGTCTGCCTACTTTGCATTGGCATGGAGGTACTTACATTTGTTCTGACCTCAAAACTGAAGGGCTGCTTCCTTCTCTCTCCGTTCTGATGAGAATGGTGATGTCAGACCTTTTTTATTCTTTAAGTTTTTTTTTTTAAGTAATCAATTTATTTATTTATTTTTGGCCATATTGGGTCTTTGTTGTTGTGTGCAGGCTTTTCTCTAGTTGCAGCAAACAGGGGCTACTCTTCGTTGCAGTGCGTGGGCTTCTCACTGCGGTGGCTTCGCTTGTTGCAGAGCACAGGCTCTAGGCGCGTGGGCTTCAGTAGTTGTGGCATGTGGGCTCAGTAGTTGTGGCTCATGGACTCTAGAGCACAGGCTCAGTAGTTGTGGCGCATGGGCTTAGTTGTTCCGTGGCATGTGGAATCTTCCCGGACCAGGGCTCGAACCCGTATCCCCTGCATTGGCAGGCACATTCTTAACCACTGCGCCACCAGGGAAGTCCCTGTCAGACTCTTATATTGCTATTGGAGTCATTTGGGGAAGTGAAATTTATCAGCTAAATTTGCGCCCCGCCCCACCCCACACATGAGACCAAATTCTACTTGGGATTAAATGTGCTCCTGGGCAGGTTCCTTCCTCCGTCTGTGGGGCCATGGCCTTTAGGGTGACTCTTTCTCCCCACTGAGGGTTCCTGTAGCAGACATCCCACGAAGTGCTTGGCTGTGCCCTGAAAGAGGATGGGTGACCCTGGCCTGGGCAGGCCGTGGTTTTTGACAGCTGCCTGTCTGAGTATTCTTAGAAAGTCCCTGAGAAGGCAAACTGGTTTGGCTAGTTGTGAAAGATTGAAGAAAACTATCCATGGACACCCTTCTGCATGGCTGGCTGGGGCTTCTACCTTTAACTGCTTGTGGTGACTGCAGCCCAATTCTAACTGCTAGAAGCAAAAAGGATCAGAAACCACCAGTGGTCTCTGGTTATGTCTTTGGTACCAAACAAGATGGCTCAGTTGTGTGAACTTCCACAGTCCCCCAGGCCCAGCCTGCAGCATGAGCTGCCCTTCATCTTGGCTCTGTCTTGGCATAGTCTCAGAAATGGACAGGCCCCACTGCTTGGAAAGGAGCCCTAGACAGGAAGAGATGGGAATCTCTCGGACCCTGTGGGCCAGCAACCCTCCCACACTTCCTGAGCCACCTCCTGCTGCCTGCAGGCCTTTCTCTTGGCCTCTGCCTTCTCCTGGCCCAGAGCTTGCGCTGCAGCCAGAGAAGGTGGCCCAGGAGGAGAGTGCTCACTGCATCCTCGTGCCTCGGGCCTGGGGAAATACAGTCTCTGTCAACGGAGCCCCCAACACATGTTGTCTGCTGGGCCCATGGGCATCAGGCAGGTGGGGGTCAAGGAGATGGACAGACCTGGAGACAGTGCAGGCCATGGTGCGGAAATTCCTAGAAAGGCTGTCGCAGCTTGAACAAATAACCTTTTTAAACTGTCCACGCTCCGAGGAACGGGTCGGTGGTTTTCTAGCGTTTGAGTTTGCGATATTTCTGTTTGGTCCCTCCCTGGAAATAACCATAGCTCTGCTCACTCCGCTCTGGCCAGTGCGTAGGCATCGCTGGAGAATGAACTTTGCCAGTTTGGGGAAATAAACACTGGTGGATTTTTTATTGGTGTTTTGTGTGTGTTTTTGTGGTGTCTTGTTTGCTGCTTATGGGCTGGTCCACTTCTTACCTGCTCCTCCTTTGCCCTGCATGGCCTACTTTTGAGTGGACTTTTCAAACCCCATTTTCAGAAGATATACAGCTATGTCAGATAGTCAACTGCCCCTAGAAGTCGTGGCCCCCTCGAGGCCACTCTGACCCGGGCCCTGCCCGAGGAGGGTGGCCGGGCCTCGCCGCCACCTCGGAGTGCTCAGTTGTGCGCAGCAGATGCTCTGGCACCATGTCTGTGGTCCTGTCAACCGCCCGCCTGGGTTTCTGTGGCCCTGGTCAGCCTGCTGCCCGCTCATGGGTTGGGTGGGGCCTGCAGAGGACCTGTCCCTCCCTACCTGTCTGCGGTTGCGTGACCTGTACCTGTGGATACTTGGCTTGGGAAATGAGGGTCGTAAAACCAACCTTTCTAACACCCAGGATTCTCTGTACCCCCTACCCCTCATTTATCCAGCAAATGCTCATCACCCCCTGGCGGATGGCCTGGCTCTGGGGAGGGCTGGGTTGAGGTCATCACCCTCAGCTTGAACAGCACGATTTGCTGCGCGCTTCCCCGCTCTGCCTGCCGGGCAGGAGGCTTTGGACTGTGGGTGGTGAGTATGGGAGTGGGGCTGGGGTCCCACACTCAACGAGGCGGGCTAAGAGTCAGTTCTGTGTGCACAGCGGCCATGGAGCCGTGAGCGAGGCCATGGCCCCAGGAGGACGAGCTGAGCCAGCGTCTCCGGGGAGACTGGAGAGCCCCTCCTGACACCAGTCCTGGCTCCGCACCTGGTGGGAGTGCCGGCTCCTGGCCCCCGTGAGGCCTGGCCCGTGAGCCGCAGCGAGCCTATCACAGATGGAGAGGGAAGGCCCGACCCAGGAGCGTGGGGAAGGGACGCACCTTCTCAGAGACCACCCCGCACACTCCTCCCAGCCTCTCGGGGCAGGTCTGGTGCTGTGGTTCCGGCCCAGAGGGGCAGGAGGGCAGTCCCCGGCTTGCCAGGCAAGAGGCTAAGGGCCGGGGGGCTGCCAGGTATTTGTATCTGTGACTCGGGATTAGAGGTTACTGAGGGATGGACACTTGAAATGGTGGGTGGGGTGTGTGTGGGGCTGGCCCAGGTGAGGAAAGGGTGAGAACGGGGCTGGAACCACAGGCCGTCTCAGCACAAGCAGCAACTTGGGGGCAGCCCTGTGAGGGTGTCGTTCTAGGAACCAGTCGAGTCTTTCTGGGTGACGAGGTGCCACCTCCCGACTTGACCTCTGGCTTCCTGGAGCAACATTAGCTTCCTCTGTCCAGAATGCAGGTGTGTTCTGGAACTTTCTGTGGCAGGGTGCTCTGAGCATTTGGAATACGCTGAGATGCTCAGCTTCTTTTTGGAGAAGGAAAAGGAATGGGATGGCTGGGCCCCAGGCACCTTCACGTTTGGGGCACCGGGCTCTGTGTCTTAGATGACCCTGAGGTGCGAGTGTCTGTGCAGTAGTCAGACAAGCTGGGAGGCTGGAGTGACCTCCCCAGCAGAGTGACCCCCTTTGCTTCTCAAGGCCACCTGCCCTGTGGCTGTGTAGCCCGGGTCAGGTGCCACGCTCACTTGCTTTTGGCAGTGTCATGCCTTTTCCTAAGTAATTTGAAAGTAACAAGCATCTTTGCACTCATTCATATCAGTCGGCCTTCATGTTCCCTACTTTCCCAGTCTCCTGGGTGGCCCTGGCGCTGTGTGAGGGAGGGACAGGGGCAGGAAGCTGGGGCTGTGCTGTCACACGCACCCCCTTCTGCTTTCTCCTGGGAGACCAGAGCTTCTCTCTGCTCTCGTCCTGCTGGACTGTGGGGATGGGACACAGGGGTTCCCGGCCACTGTTAGGTCCTGGGAGGGACCTGCTGAGTCAGCTCTTAATCTCGCTTCTGCTAGAAGCAGCTCCACTGTCAGGAAGGAAGGGCAGAGGGGCTCCTCTCCGCTGTAGGACGCACTGTTCACCAGCAGGGCAAGTGGGGGCAGGCCCGAATGCACTTGTCCCGTCCTGTCCCAAAGTACCACATCTGAGATTTTCTTCTGAAATCACAGAGGAGACATAGCGGCCCTTAGCCAGGTCCCCTTGGTGTGGCTGTGAAAACCAGATGTACTGGGGCTAGGCTGAAAGCCCTCCTGGGCACCCCCTACCCCTGTGCAGCTCCTGCCCCAGGCAGGCCTCTTTCAGCTTCCTTCACAGCTGCCCGGCTTGCCCAGAGATAAACTGTTACTTCGCTGGGATCGTTTTTCTTGTCTTTTTTTCTTTCCTTTTCTTTTCTCTCCTTTTTTTGTGTGTGTGAGAAAACCAACCCACACTGGCTTTGTTCTTATTTGCTGTGATTCTTGTTTGTTGAAGGTAGATCTGAAAAAGAGTATGGGACCAAGATTTTAAAATACCCCCTTTAGGGCTTCCCTGGTGGCACAGTGGTTGAGAGTCCGCCTGCCGATGCAGGGGACACGGGTTCGTGCCCCGGTCTGGGAAGATCCCACATGCCGTGGAGCGGCTGGGCCCGTGAGCCACGGCCGCTGAGCCTGCGCGTCTGGAGCCTGTGCTCCACAACGGGAGAGGCCACAACAGTGAGAGGCCCGCGTACCGCAAAAAAAAATAAAATAAAATAAAATAAAATATCCCCTTTACATCCATGGAACTCCAGACGTGCAGGTTTTTGTCAAATTGCCTTTCACAGCTTTTATTAGTAACATTTTTACTGATGTGCTTCTCCCACTGTTGGACTGAGCTGTTCATTTTCTCCCCCACCCTCCGCCCACTAGCGTTGCACGCCTACGGAAAAGCAGGGAAGATGCTGGTGGAGACCAGGTAGGTGGTGCCATTCTGTTGGGGTAATTCTCTCTGTTCTTCACCTGTGGCCAAAGAGAAACTGGAGGATTGTTACACAATGAGCCGTATGTTTTAGATGCGGATTGGTTCATAGCTTAAAATATTTCTCTGAAGTGTTACTTACTAAATAGCTGAAAGTTCAGTTTATTGTACTCTTAAAATGATTAGTGTCAAGGCTGAAAGCCTTATTTAAGTCTTACTAAGAAAAATATAAAAATGGAAAACCCAGGGAACATAGCGAGGGGGCGCTCCCACGGCTGCACTTCATCTCTTGGTTCTGTTCCTGAAGCTCGTACGCACCCCCCACCCCGCCCCCTGCCCCGGACACTGTTGCATAAAGGTGGCATTAAACTCATATTCTCCCTTTGGAGTAAAATTTTATGAGATGAAAAAATGGCTGGGAAATTGCACTTTTAGGCTTCTAAATTAGGGAATTGCAAACTGAAAAGGATAACCTTTTCTAAAGCAGTCGATTGTTCTTTTAACTTGTCTAACATCACAGTGCATTTTTGTAGCACCTGAAAGAACTTTTAGAACCTCCTGTAGAGAGAAAAATGTAATGCCACATAAAGAAGAGTTCAGTGTTACTCAATATTCATTCTGAGTAAAATAGCAAACTCCACAGCCAAACCCTGTAAACCGCTGAATGTTGATACCACGTCTCCCACTCAGCCCCTCCCTTGGGTTGTTGCGTGTCAGCGGCCACCCAGCAGGGATGGGGGCACGTCTGGGGCTCCCCGGGACCCTGGTGCTCAGCTCTCAAGCCCGCGCCTGCCTTCCTTGCAGCATGATTGGGCTGATGCTGGGAACCTGCATCGCCTTCTACGTTGTGATTGGCGACTTGGGGTCCAACTTCTTTGCTCGGCTCTTTGGGTTTCAGGTAAGGACATCTGCAGGTGCGTTGGAAGGCTTGTGGCTGCTTGCGTGGCAGCCCAGGGACACTGTTTAAGTCCACATCTCAGACGGGTAGTGGGAGGGGGGCCGAGGCCAGCATGCTGTGTGGTGAAGGGCCTTGGGTCAGTTCCGGGGCTCTGGGTGGGAAACCCAGGGACTAACTGGGGCAACGCCTGGCGCTCCCTGCAGGTCACGGGCACCTTCCGCATGCTCCTGCTCTTCGCAGTGTCCCTGTGCATCGTGCTGCCACTCAGCCTGCAGAGGAACATGATGGCCTCCATCCAGTCCTTCAGCGCCATGGCCCTCATCTTCTACACCGTGTTCATGTTCGTGGTGAGTGTTGGGCTGCCAGCTGCCTTCCAAGGATGACAGGAAGGTGCTGCAGAATCGTCCACAGGGGCGCGGTGGATAGACAGGGCCGGCAGGGGAGGGGAGGCCTCCAGGGCAGGGAGTGAAAGTGTGATGCTCCTCAGTTCACGAAAGACCTTTCATATGGGGTTTGTGGCCAGGAGTCAGGAGGCCAGCCTTTTGTCACAAGGGGGCGAGCAGCTGTTTTCCAGTGAGTGTTTATCACAGGCTGGGGGTGGGATACAGCGTGGAGTTGACACTCAGGGTGCCCCTTTCCTCCCAAGCCTGGGAGGCCCTCAGTGGGAGCCCCTGGGCCTGAGCCCCTGATCAGTCCTGCGGGAGCAGAACGTGAGAATCTGTGCAGTGGGCTTTCCTTAGAAGACCAAGCACCCGGCGGTGTTCCCAGCGTCCCTTGGCTGTGAGGGCCAGCCCAGTGACCATTCCCCTCCTTTCCAGACAGCCCTGTCCTTGATGGGTTTGTCTTTTTTTTTTGATGGGTTTGTCTTTTAAATCATGTCCGTGCAGGACTGGCAAGGACCTGCCAGGTTGGGGGACTGTCCTGTCCCGGAGGTGACTGGGGCCCACCAAGTGGGCCTCGTTGCTTACCGTCTGCGCTAAGCAGCCCTGGACAGGCAGCTGCCCCCGATGTCAGGAGGCCCTGCAGCAGGCGCTTCTCTGGGCAGCACCCGGCCAGCTTGCAGCACAGCAGAGGGCGGTGGCCCCGGGACCGTGCACCACCCCCGGCCCCTCCAGCTGGTGGCACCAGGCGGCACTGTGCCAGAGGCTGCAGTCTGTCTCTTTCCCACTGTGGTGCAGGCAGCATCCATTCTTTGCCTGGCTCTGGCCTGAGTCCCACCTGTGTCTGCTGTCTGGTGCCAAGCTCCGCTTTCTTCTCCTCACAGATCATGCTCTCCTCCCTCAAGCACGGCCTCTTTGGTGGGCAGTGGCTGCGGCGAGTCAGCTACATCCGCTGGGAGGGTGTCTTCCGCTGCATCCCCATCTTTGGCATGTCCTTTGCCTGCCAGTCGTAAGTACTGCCTGCTCCCAGGGCCCCGGGTGTGAGTGTGTTATGAGGTGGGGCTATGATCCTGGGAGAGGGAAGCACTGTTTTGTTCAGTGGTTGATCCAGGCCACGAGGAGTAATGTGTTCTTCACCGTGGCCTTCCTGCTTTGGGTTCAGGGTGGGAGTTAGATGTTTAGTGAGGGAGAAATCGACTTTATTCCCAAGATGTGTTGCCGGCACGTTGGTGAGAGCGCCGAGTTTGCCAAATCCCCCACGAGTAGAGTTGGCTGTGGGGAACACAGAACAGCCCCAAACCATCTGACTCACAGAGTCCCGAGCATTTTGCCAGAATTTAGCTGCTCGTGTGAGAATATTTAAGAGGAAATTGCACAAACATTGACTTCAGACTGCCGCTGGGATGCTTTCGGAGGCCTGTGTGTGTATGTGCGCGTGCACGTGAGCAGGCGTGCGCTCTCTGGCACGCAGGGCTTTGTAAATGCAGAGCAGCTATTTCCTTAATTCCAGCAGCCTTATCTTCTCTACCAAATGACAGGAGCCTGTGATTCATGCCCAGTCAGGTGGTAACCCGCTCAAAAGAGAGGCATAAATCCGGCGGGGATAGGAAGGGACCATCGGTGGCGGGGGGCTGGCAGAGCAGCCCCCCACAACTCTACGGGCATCAACTGTGCCAGTCGTAAACTAATGTGACAGATGAGACTGTTCAGACTGCTGTGTTTACACCCACACGCGAGATCCAAATCGTGGTTTCCCACTTCTCGTCTCTCTTGGCAGCTTGGTTTCCACCAGAACACTCTCCACTCTTGCTGTTTAATGTCCCCGTTACAATCAGTGACAGAAGTTACATCCTTTTGCCATGTACCTAGTTACCGGTTGTCCTTTTTGTCTGAGTTTGCTTCTTTGAAAATAAACCCTGGTCGGGCTTTTGGTGGTGGCTGCTCTGTAGTCAGGCACGTCTGCTGGGTTTGGTTCTCAGGTGGAATTATGGGTTCCGGAGGGGTTGTGAGCACATGTCCCGTCTGCTGCTCATGGAGGGCACGGGGCCTGCAGAGGCACTCACGTTCCCTAGGGAGCGGTGCTGAGGGGTCCAGAGCTGGGGGCATCCAAGGGCAGAGACGGCTCTTCCCTCCCCTGCAAGTCTGCCCCAGAGCACGTGTGGGGCGGGGACCTTGCTGCTCTTGCCGAGTGACCACGGGCCCGGCTGTGTGGCTGGTCTCCCCATCCTGGACAGGCCGTGCCTCCACTGTGCCATCACTGTGTGGCCCTTTCTGGTCTGACTTCGCAGTAAATGAGTACGTGTTGGTGCAGGACCACTTGGCCCTGCGGCCCAGAGAAGCTCGGAGAGAGCACTGAGCACATGGAGGCCCAGGCTGTGCAGGGAGACAGGTGGACTCCTCTGACTCAGGTAAACTGAGTCACAGGGCTGCTCAGCGAGGTGGGCAAGTGCTCTGTGGGTGCTGGGTTGGCCCACCACGGGGGTCTGGCTGCCCCCATCAGGGGTCCTTGGGGCCCAGGCAGGATGGGAGCAAGGCGGGGACCGTGGTTGTTCCACACGCATCCATCCCCACTTTCAGGGCACAGCCGCCTCCCCTCAGTGTCAGCGGCTCTTGGGCAGGGACTTCTCCCTGTGTGCTGGGGGCTGGGGCTCCCTGGCATGGACCCCACTCTGGTGCAAGGAGCTGGTCAGCACCCAGATGATGGTGCCAGTTCCCCTGCAGGTCCTCTGCCGCCTCCCTGGGCTGCATGGGCGTGTGGCCACCCGCTGCCCTCTGCCGGGCCGAGGTGAGGACAGCTGTCTGCTGTGACCCCTGCCCACTGGGGGTAGCTGATGGGATGGTGTGCAGGGCCGGGGGATGGTGCCAGCTTCTGCCGGCCAGGCCTCCCCCATCCTCATCCTTGTCGTTTGCTGTTAATAACGTTAGCGGGTCCTCTTTGTTCTCCTTTCACTTTTTTAAAGGCGGTTTTGGGATTTGGCTCCACTGACTATTGTGGTTTCATTTATGTCCTGACGCGCCCCCTCCCGGCCTCCCGCGTGGCGTGACCGCTGGCCCCGTCTCCCTTGGTGCTGAGCCTGAGCCTTCAGCATAGCGTCACCCTGCTTTCTCCTCTCAGGGCTGCACAGGAGACCCCCCCCGCCCCTTCCTGTTTGCCTCCGTGGGGCCCACGTCTCGCAGGTGCAGGGTCCCTGCCTGCTGTTTGCAGAGAGCCTGCATGGGCGCATCCCTCCCAGGCCTGGCGGCACTGCCCTGCCGGCTGTGGGCCGTGGGACTGAAGCCACTCTTCCCGTCGCAGAGCTGGGTCCACGCCGGCTCTGAGCCCCTCGCTGAGGCGCTGAGACGGGCGGGCAGCCGGCTTGTTTGCTTAACTTTCCATTCTTTTGACAGCGATGCTCTGAACCGCTTCCTGCTTCCCCTGTAAACACGGGGTGCTTCAGCCCAGCCCGGAGCGGTCACGCTCCTGCTGCAGTGGAACAAACGGCCTTTCATCCTGTGGCACTTCTGAAATGTTTACAGAGATCACGTTCAGGGAGGGCTCTGAGTACTGTCTGTAGTATTGTGAGAGCTCGGCCTCGGCTCCAGTGGTGGCCAGCGTGGTGGGAAGGCAGGTGTTGGAGACTCGGCGGGGGCTCCGGGGGAGGTGTGTCTGTCTCTGGAATCGGCTCCGTGAAGTCGCTCATTTTTATACAGCCAGGTCCTGCCCACCTATGACAGCCTGGATGAGCCATCAGTGAAAGCCATGAGCTCCATCTTCGCCTCCTCCCTCAATGTGGTCACCACCTTCTATGTCATGGTAGGAACCCTTTCACACCCCACCCCCTTGCACAGTTCCTCCAGTCCCCCAGCGTAGGCCTGCCCTTTCTCCTTCCCATCCCAGTGCCCGCTCAGCTCCAGGGCCACCTGTGAGCCCGCTCCCCAGGTGGTGGTGTTGTCCCCATCCCGGGAGGAGCGTGGGTGCCTCAGCGCAGGGCCTGGAGCCTCCCCAAGAGCTCTGCTGATGTGCTGTAGAAAGGTGGTCCATCAGTGAGAAGTGGGAGACAGTGAAATAGCAGAGAAAGGATATCACAGGTTCCAGCCCACAGATGCAGATACAGTTCATGTTTTGGGAGATTTTCCCTCCAGTCTTCTTAATTCTCCTCTTTGTTGTTGTTGTTGTTGTTTTCCCCCCGGTACGCGGGCCTCCCACTGCTGTGGCCTCTCCCGTTGCGGAGCACAGGCTCCGGACGCGCAGGCTCAGCGGCCATGGCTCACGGGCCCAGCCGCTCCGCAGCATGTGGGATCCTCCCGGACCGGGGCACGAACCCATGTCCCCTGCATCGGCAGGCGGACTCTCAACCACTGCGCCACCAGGGAAGCCCCTTCGTTGTTTTTTTACATGGCAAATAGAGATATAAATTCACTGAGAGTCTGGCTTGTTTCCCTGAACTTTGTGGTTCCACCATTCTTGTTGGTTTTTACAAATGGTCCGTCAGATTGTTGTCCACGCTGAGCCTGAGCTCGTGGGGACCTTGATTTACCCCATGGTTTGGGTTTTGAGCCAGATTAAGTCCAGCCCCTCTGCGGGGCTCATGGGGCATTCCGATGCTCCCTTTCCATGCAGGCAGCTCCCTTCTCTTGGTGCCCTGTTGTCCAAGTGGGGAGAAGCCACATCGGACTCTCACCTTTAGACCTTCAGCCTCTGCTTGTCAAGGAGGTTGTTTACGAGCCAGGAGCTGGGGGGCCTTGGTCTTGCTGCAGCTGCTCGTGATGAGGCTCGCGGCTGTTCCGGGGAGGGTGCGCCCCTCTCACCACATGCTCCCTCCATCCCTCTGTCGTCCCCCTGCAGGTGGGCTTCTTCGGCTATGTGAGCTTCACCGAGGCCACCGCGGGCAACGTGCTCATGCATTTCCCTTCCAACCTGGTGACCGAGATGATCCGTGTGGGCTTCATGATGTCCGTGGCCGTAGGCTTCCCCATGATGATCCTGCCCTGCAGACAGGCCTTGAACACGCTGCTTTTCGAGCAGCAGGTAAGGTGCTCAGGGCCCCTTGGACGGCGTTCTGCCCGAAATTGTCTCTGCCCTGGTCTCAGTTATGTTGTCCTCAAGTGGCTTTTGCTAGTTCTTTATTTTCCTGGGCGGTAGTAGGAAGAGTTTTTCCTAGTTAAAAATTAAAAACTCCAATTAAAATGAAATCTTTTAATAGGGATCTTTTTTTTTAACCAACTTTGGAGAACAGAGCCTCAGATCAATCGGGTCGATTCCAGCAGGAGATGTGGAGTCAGGCCCAGTGTCCAAGCAGGTTAGGCTCGTGTCCTGTGACTTCCCTGCTGTCCCCCACATCGGAGAAGTAGCAGGAAATCAGGGGCTTGCTTCAGCACAACCCTGTGGGAAAGGAGTGGTTGGGAACTCAGAAGAGCTGGTTTAACTGACAGGAGCTGATAATGGCTGGCCGGGTGGGCAGATGAACGCTGGGCTCAGGCCACCATTCTCTTTACATTTGTGTAAGGGAAAGTTTTGATAATTTGACAAAGGACATCTGAACCTTGAGAGAGGCTGAGTTTTGTTTGCTGTCGTGTGTGTAGGCCCAGCGCCATGTAGTCCTGTGTAAGCAGTTTTCCAAATGTACAGTGGGAACCCACATTCCCCTAGCTCTCTAACTCCTGCCCGGTTGACAACAAGAGGTGCAAGTGTGGTAGCTCGTGCCCAAGGGCGAGGGCATGGGGTTGGCCCTGTCTCTCTGCGGTGGTTCTTGTGTTCCTGCCCGAGTCCTTGAGCCTGGTCTGTGGCATCAGCCAGGACTCCTGGTGGCCACTTGAACTGCTTAGGCCATGGTGGCGGGGAGGGGAGAGTCTGGTAGGCAGACGGGGTGGGTGGCTGCCTAGGCCTCAAGGACAGCTGGAACTGGGCTTGTCCATGTGGCTTGGCGCATGGTTGAGGCAGCCTCCCACAGATTCTGCCACCAGGGATAACACCTTGAGGCAGAGCTCCAGTCCTGAAGAACTGGCTGCCTGCCCCACCCCTGTTAGCTGTTCAGGCACCTGGGCACCAAGCAAGGCTCTGTCCCCTGGGGGGCGCGGCAGGCTAGCTTATGCGGCCATGGGGTCCTCTGATGCAAACATGTACTTCATATCTGAACAGCATTTGTGTTTCTGTAAATAACATGTTTTTGTGATTTTTTAAATTAGAAAATCAGTAGCGGTATTAAAGGAAACGTTAATTCAAGTGGAAAACTTACCTGCATGCCTCCATCCTCATTCGAATGACCCGTTCTGCTCCCCTTGGCGTTTGTGTGCATCTCTTTGCAGATTTCCTCTCGCTGTGTTTTCTCCTGTCTTTAGTCCATGCGTATCCATAGAAACCCCCAGCATCACTAAGCCCTTGCTCTCACTTCCTGTTCATCGCTGGTCTTTCACCCTTGACCTATCACGGGTGACTCTCGTGACACCCTTCCTGCATGTAGCTGCCCATTTCTTCTTCTCCTCTTGGAGTGTTTCTTGGGTAAATTTCTGTAGGTTTCTGAGTCAGAGGGTGTAGACCTAACAACCTCCCTCACTAGTCTGTCCTAAGAAAGCTGCCTGTGCAAGTCAATTCTGGATATTGGGTGCCTCCAAACTGTAGTTCTGGAAGGGTCTGAAGCTTCACTTGAGTGCTGTTTTCCTAGCCCAGCAATAGTAATCATGGCTAGCCCCTCCTGTGTGCACAGCACTGTTCTAGAAGCTTCACTCCCATCACCTCCTTTGGTCCTCACCACAGCCTGATGAGGTGCTTCCGGTGCCCCTGTGCCTATGGATGTGGAGGTGAGGCCAGAGGTGGTCTCTTTGGCTTGATTACAGCATGTAACGACTTGACTTGTCCCCTTGTCTTCTTCCTGGACGCACCTGCTGGAGACGAGGATGGCGCAGCCGAGCCTGTCTGCGTGCATGGGGGGCCCACTGCACCCTGAAACCCACTGCGTGTCACTATGAACTGGGGATGTGTTCTATTTCCCGTGCTATGCAGTATTTTTAAAAATCTCTCTCACAGCATTGCTCTAAAAGGAGAACAGAAGGATTTGTTCTTCGTATCTCAGAACGAAGTTGTTATTTACCACCGTAGCTGCTGTGAGGAGCAGCCTGGACCTTCCTGGGGTCCGCAGTTCTGGTTGCAGGTTCACGTTCAGGCACATCTGCCTGTGCCCAGAGTACTCGCCTGCCACCTCCCGGGCAGACCTACCTGGGGTGTTGGCAGAGCCCTTTAAGGACTTGCTCACTGCAGGGTGGGGAGGAAATTGGTCACTTCAGAACCTTGTTTTTATTTTCTTTCATGTAGCAAAAAGATGGGACCTTTGCCGCTGGAGGCTACATGCCGCCCCTGCGGTTTAAAGCCCTCACCCTCTCGGTTGTGTTTGGAACCATGGTCGGTGGAATCATGATCCCAAATGGTAAGTGGGGCTGCTGCAGCGGCTGGCCTCCTGCTGGCCTGTTCTGCCCCGTGCCCCCTTCCTGCTGTTGTGCGCCCCTGCCTCAAGTCTCGTGTTCAACCAAGACGCTCAGAATCTCACCACCATCCTCTCTGGTCAAAAAAAAGTCTAGAGACTCTTGGGCGCTTTTTTCTTTGGCCTGAGAAAGGCTTGGGAGAAAAGGCCGCAGCTTGATGTGACCACAAACATGTGGGTGGAAGCTGCGATGCGGGGTCCCCGCCTGATGTGTGAAGTTAGTGGTTATAAAGAAGCTCCTGACTGCTGACTCCTGATTTCGTTGACACGTCACCCAGGGAAAAGGGAAGGGCCCTGGGCAAGATTTCTGTTGTCCGATGTCCTGCTGCAGCACAGACAGAGCTCACTGTCTTCAGACATCGAGTGGGCCCTGCATGCCCTCCAGGGAGCGACCCCCAGGCCCCACACTCCAGGCTCCCAGCTTCCCCACGCAACCAGGACAGGCCCTGCTCAGTCACTTGCTGGGCAGCAGGTGGGGTGATGTAAGATGATCCGGCCCAGAAGCCCCCGCTGGCCGCCCAGACGCTCCGCGAGGAGCCGTAACAGCGTTGTGGACCCAGCATGGGGCGGGCAGTGCTGTTAGCCTCACCTCACTGGCGAGGAAGCTGAGGTACAGAGTGGAGGGGACTTGCCTGAGGCGCCTGGCCCGACGCTGTCAGATCGGACACCCTAAGGGTCCTTGCAGGCACAGAAGGCTGTGCCCCGCTCCTCGCTGCTGTCCGGCGGCACGCGTAGATGCGCCTTAGTAGCAAGGCTCCTCACCCTGCTCGCTGGAAGCTCACCCCTCCCTGTCACTCTTGTTCCCAGTGGAGACAATCCTGGGCCTCACGGGCGCCACGATGGGAAGCCTCATCTGCTTCATCTGCCCGGCGCTGATCTACAAGAAGATCCACAAGAACTCCCTCTCTTCCCAGGTGCGTGCTGCACAGCGCTCTCAGCCCCACTCAGGGCGGGTCTGGGTCGGGGAGAGCAGGAGGCGGTGTTCTCTGAAGTTCCTGTGAACTCATTGTGTTTCTTAGCACAAAATGATCGTGGTCCTGTAGGTCTGAGAAACATGGGGTTAAGGCAAGGTGAGCAGCCTTGCACCGCAGGGCCGCCGAGCCGAGCTGCTGACCACGCTTATCTGAGCATTGAGTGCTGAACCGCTTTCCCCCGCCTCTGTACAGTGACCGGATTATCTGTGTGTGCCACACGCTCACGTCCCCGTCTCCATCCCCTACTGAGGACATCCACACTGTCTCGCTGGGGACTGTCTTGTTGGTGTCACCTCTCCAGTCTTTCACTGTTACAGACAATGCCAGGGTGACTATCTGTGCCCACGAGCATTTCTGTATATTTGAGAAAGTACCTATAGGAAGCTCTCTGGGCCCCGGGATCCCTATGTCAGGAGTGGGAGCTTTCCCCCAAGGGCCCGTGTGCAGGTTAGCAGCCAAGCTCTGCCTCTCCCCTCCGTCAGCCCGAGGATGGTGGCAGGTCTCGGCTGCTCTGGAGTGAAGGTGAGCATTTCTTTTTCCATGAACTGTCCGTGCTTTTTGCTCACCTTTAATGGAGTTGTTGAGCTTTTTCTTATCGGTTGATTTTGGTAAATTTTTTAGGAGCGTAGTATACATATGGCAAAACACATAATTCTCAGGTACAGCTTGATACATGTCGGCTAAGTTCCACACCTGGAACCACCTCCAGGCCAGATACAGAACATTCCAGCACTTGAAGCTTCCCTGGGGTGCCCCACAGTCTTTCCTCCACTAAGGTTACTGCCTGTCTGTCTTCTAACATTTTGGAATAATTTTACCTGCCTTTCAAGTTAGTACAAATGGAGTCTCACAGGAAGTGTTGGCGTGTGTCTAGCCTCCTTACTCAGCATCATGCCTGAGTTCCTCTGCGTTACTGCCAGGGTGGCCAGGGGTGGTTTGCCCGTCTTCCCTGCCATGTGATTCTCCACTGTAGGAATCTACAGTCACCCAGAGCAGGGTGTCCTGGACGGGCCGTTCTGCACGTCTCTCCTGGTGCAGCGTGTGTGCACTTTTGTTCGTTATTCACCTAGGTGCGGAGTTGTTGGGTCCTGAGGTTATGTCTGTCCAATTTTAGTAGATTTTGCCAGACTTTTTCCAGCTTTCCAAAGTGGTCCTCAGGCACCATATTGGAATTTTAGTTGCTTTAACATCTACTGTCCCTTTGTTAGATTCTAGCCCTTCCGAAGGACGTGTAGCAGTACCTCATTTGGGTTTTAATTTGCAATTTCCAGATGACTGTTGAGCACCTTTTCATACTCTTGTTAGCCGTGTGGGTGTCGTCTTTGTGAACGCCTTTCAAGTCTTGCCCATTTTTTAACTATTGGGTTATTTTTTTCTTATTGATTTGTAGAGGTTTGTAAAAGATTCTCGATATAAGACTTTTTTCAGAAGTATATATTACAAATGTTTTGTCTCATTCTTGGCTGCCTTTTCACTTTCTAAATGACACCTTCTGATCAACAGATGTTCGTAATTTCAGTGTAGTTCAGTTTTTTGAGTTTTTCTTTTGCTGTGTGCTTTTTATGTACTACTTAGGAAATTTGCTTATCCCCAGGTCCTGAAGACAGTCTACTCTGTCATACTGTAGAAGCCTTGTATTTTCTCTTTCACATTTAGATCTACTTCCCATCTGGAACGCTTGGTGTGTGGCAGGGGTCAGGGGTCGTGTTCTGTGTGACTCTCCAGTTGAGCAGCAACCCCTTGCCCCAGCGTTGCTGGGCACCGTTGTCATCAGTCACCTGTGTACGTGTGAGGCTGGGAACTCCCATCCACTGGTCTGTCGGTCTCTCCCACACTAGCGCTACACTGTGTTGGTTGCTAAGGTTTTGTAGGGAGTTTTGATGCTGGCTGCTTTAAAGATGGCCTTTTCTATTGTTGGCTGTTTGCATTTCCAACTCAATTTTATTTTTTTTAATTTTTAAAATTTTTTGACTGCACCACGCAGCATGTGGGATCTTAGTTCCCCGACCAGGGATGGAGCCCGTGCCCTCTGCACTGAAAGTGCAGAGTCTTAACCGCTGGACCGCCAGGGACGTCCCCCAAGTCAGTTTTAGAAGTGGCTTCTCAGCTGTTGGCATTTGACTGGGATTGCATCAAACTATAGATTGAAGACTTGACATCATCATTTTGCAGTTTTTCGTAATTTCCATCCTTATTTCGTTTTTTTTTTTTTTTTTTTTTTTTGTGATACGCGGGCCTCTCACTGTTGTGGCCTCTCCCGTTGCGGAGCACAGGCTCCGTACGCGCAGGCTCCGCGGCCATGGCTCACGGGCCCAGCCGCTCGGCGGCATGTGGGATCTTCCCGGACCGGGGCACGAACCCGTGTCCCCTGCATCGGCAGGTGGACTCTCAACCACTGCGCCACCAGGGAAGCCCCATCCTTATTTCTTATTTCACCACTGGCTTCTTTATTTATTTATGTATTTTTAATGCTAATAATATAAAATTTTAACTTTTTCTCTAACAGCAAAATCGCAAACAGAAAAAACACTGTAACGAGTTATGAGAGAGACCACAGAAAAAAGGGAAAACATTCTAGTACTTTTAATGGTCCTGTTTACCTGATTTTTGGATAAAAGGCCACACATCTTCATTTTGCACTGGGTCCTACATATTAGGTTATATTAGCTCTGCTCTTGACTGCTGTGCTCCTCCTGAGGCAGATCTCAAACCTTTCCTTATCGGAACCCCCTTCTGTCTACAGCCCTTTGGGGACTCTAGCTGATTGTCACCAGTAGCTTCTTTAGATTTCCAAACTTTGGGGGATTTTCCAGGACTCTCTTTTATTTCGAGCACAGTCCCAGTGTGATTCGAGAACACAAGCTGAAGAACTTCAGTCCTCTGACATTTCTTGGGGCCCAGCAGATGGTCTATTCTGATGGCTGTTTAGCTGTCTGTAGAGTCTGCAGTTGTTGGATGCAGTATGCATCCAACATGTGGTTGAGTTGAGTTTAGTAACTGTGATTTTTAGATTTTACATATTCTTACTGATTTTTTAATCTTCTTGTGTATCACTTATGAAAAAGGTATGACAGTTCCCACTTTAATTATAGGCTTATTTGTCTTGTTATATCAATTTTTGCTTTTTGTTTTGAAGCTATGTTATTAGGAGCATACAGTTTTAAAATGGCTATATCTTATTAAACTGACCCTTTTGGTTGTGAAATGTCCCTTTTTATCTTTGGAAATGCTTCTCTCCTTACAGGCAGCCCTGTCTGAACAGTGTAGCTAATCCAGCTTTATTTGGGGTTTATATTTGCACAATATTGTTTTTATTATCCTTTCTCTTTTGATCTCTCTATGCCTTTATATTTAAGGTATGTCTCGGGTAAGAGCATTTAGTTGGCTTTTGTTTTGTTTTGTTTTGATCCATCCTGATAATAGGAGTATTTAAGACTATTTACAGTTAATAAAATTACTGATTTGGGGGGATTAAAGCTTCCGTCTTACTCTTTGTTTTCTATTTGTCCCATATGTTCTTTTTTCTGTTTCTTTTTTGCTTGCTGCCTTTTGGATAAATCAAGCATTTTAGGTATTTATTGTCTGTTCTTCCATTAGGTGCTGTACGTTTCTGTTCTACTAGTGGTTATACGAGGCAGTTTAATGTGAATCCTCGGCTTATTAGAGTTGACCATAAGTTAGTTTTTTTTGACTGTTTCCCAGATGAGGCAACTATCCAATGATATTTTAACTCCATTTACCTTCCTCTGGCCTTCGGTGCTGTTGTTTTTATGTAGTTTAATTTTACATATATTTTAAACACCACAAGACATCATTATTGTTCAAATAGTCAGTTTGTTTATATTGATCCTTTGCACCCTCTTGGTTTTCTGGGGCCTGGTCCTGTCCCCTGACATGCTTGGTACTTTGTGTAGGTGTATGTGAGAAATCGTGGAGGCTCTGGATGATGTTGTCCTCTGTCCAGCAGATGGAGAGGATGGGCAGAAGGCCTGTGTCCACTTGAGGCCAATCTGTTTCAGGTTTGCCCTCACCCCTAGAGTGGAGCCCTTCCTGAGTCTCAGTGCAGTCCCCTGCAGATTGCTAACTTATCTGCTTAGCTTTCATCCTCTTGGCAACTGCTCTCTGCACAACTCTGCCCAGCTGGTGGCTGGCACGTGCCTCAGGGGAGAACTGAACACAGAACGTGGGTGCATCCTTGGAGGGTTCCTCTTCTCCAGGATTGTAGCCGCTCCGGTTCTGGCTGCCGGGGAGCCCTCACTTCTAATGCCTGGGGCCCAGTCTGTGTGTCTGCAGGCTCCAGGGCTGTTCAGCACTGCTGACTGGGAAAAGCCTGGCCTGGTGGCCCCTCGGTGCTTATCTGTTCTCTGGAGTCTCTCACCCTTCAAGTCTTAGCTGCTGAGGTTGTTCACCAGTCTTCAATTGGGGATTTTGGTGAGTTTTAGGAACTCCTTATAATATGAGGAAATTGGCCCATTGCCTGCCAAATTGCAAATGTTTTTCCCAGTTTGTGAAGTACCAGTGTTTGAGTCTATCAGACTCTTTGTAGGAGAGAAAAAAGTCATTGTTAAAATGACCCTTCCACTTCAGTATTATTTTAAGGAATTCTTTCCTCAGTTCTTTCAGTAATTCCATGATTTCATTTTTCCATTTAAATCTTTGACCCATCGGCATTCTATTTTGGTGTAAGAAACAAAGTAGGTATCCTCAGTTTTTCTAGATGGCTTTCTAGTTGTCAGAACACTGTTCGTCCATCAGTGATATGAAATGTTACTGCTCCTGTATATTAAGTTCTTGTATGTATTTGGGCTCATTTGGGACTTGTATTTTAATTTCCTGGATGTCCCGTCCAGTGACGTGGCCGTCCACGCTGTTTTAATTACCCGGCCTTGTGATGGTGCTCCCTTGTTGTGTGGCTCTGAAAACGTTTGAATTCTAATCTC